CTAGTTAGCGAGCGGGACATACGTCTTAAACCGCCCGGGTAGCTAGGAGTAGAAAAGGAGAAACAGAAGGAAAGGTACCGACGCACAAGTGTGTCGAGTACCATTTCCTTCTGTTACCCTAGATAGCGGGTGGGATAGAAGCACGAATTAGGTTGCAAGGTGGGGGGGGGTGTGGAAGTGCAAGTGTGGACAGACACAAGGAACCGTAACGTGTCCGATCTCAAAGTGGTCGTGGTTGGAAAAGTGAGACAGTACATTCTTGAAAGTGAAATCAAGCTGCAAACATGAACGTGAATCTGATCAAAGAGAGTGGAATTGCCGTGGTGAAACAGTGGTGAAACTAAATCCGTTGAGAGAATCCAAGGTCTGGTGGAGGCGGTCGAAGCAGTTACACGAGTTCCGGAATAAAAACGGCGCCTCCTTGCGGAGGATCACACCCAGCGCCCAAGTGGGACGACTGAGCGAGTCACACTCTGACATTGGTTTGCTGTTAACTCAGTTCCCAAGTCAAAGAAAGGTGGTGGAACAGAAAGGCGAAGAGTCCAAGCATTTGTAGGTGTTTGAACAAAGTGGTTTCACACTTGACTGCGGAAGCTAGTTACTGCATTAGCCCTTTACTGCAAGAACGGTAAGGTGCAAGGGTCCGAAGAACAGAACTGCTTAACAAACGCACTAGCACTTTACCAAAGCTAAGGAAACCTGTTTTGGGGCCGGGGGATATCATGCGAACAAGGTGCAAAAGTTTTCATCCGCGCAGGTACAAGTTTGCGTCCAAACTTCCATCCAGTCGATTTCCCTAGCTTCGTTGTCGTGACTAGGAAATCGACTGTCACGCCCCCTGCGACTTAAAACTTGAGAAAAACAGAAACTCTTAGTCACAGAGGTGGACACACACACAGAACGCCGATATCGGCGCAGGAGTCGTAGGAGTACGCGTATGCATTTTGACATACACACTTAGTCACACTTAGTCACAGGGTTTGCAGTTATCATAATCCACAGTGAAATGATTGACGGAAACGCAAGGTGAAGCGGCCAGCGCAACTGAATTGTTTAACAAGTTGTTCACGTGTCTGCAGAACGCGGCGGTGACGAGCTGTAAGCGCGGCAAGAAAGTGGGTCTGGGGGAAGTCTCACGACGAACCACCATGGAAACAAAAAGTGGGAAAGTGGAGTCACAGCGTGTGCAAAAGTTCCGTCAGCGCAGGGACGCCAGGATGGCCAACCCTGGTATCCCGTGTTCAGACTAGCTTCGTTGGGCGTAGTCATCTGAACACGCTACGCCCCCCTGCATTCTTGAATTCGCGCGTGCAACAGAGAACCCTTTGGAACGCACACACTTAGGATAGGGTGTACTGAACTGAAAGCGGTGCCACACGCCGGCCTAGGGTTCCATTTCCTAAGGGTACCAGTACGAACCACGGGAACCTGGAGGACTTCAAGAGGAAAGAAGGCCAAAAGCTCAAGGCGAAAACGGACCGATGGGGTGACGGCGTAACGTGCAAGTCTGCGGAACTCACTAGCCCTTTACTAAGGGTAGAAACTAGCTGGGTTCTCGGCTTAGCCCAGTGGCCATGCACGGAAAAACTCAAAGCAGGTACGTGAGAGTGATCAGCTCTCATTTCCCGTACAATCAGGTAGCTTCGTTGGACATGGTCCCTGATTGTACGCCATGTCCCCCTGCTGCGCAAGGAAAACAACTGTGAAGCAAAAACAATCCGAAAGGATCCCTATGATTCCAAGGGTTACACACACACACACGCCTCCCCGAGGGGAGGCAAGATTTTAAGCTCCGCGCCACAATTAACGAGGCAATGACGTGTACTTCGTCCCCAAGTAGTGGTAAGGCCAGGAACCTCTAGTAGCGTCAAAGAAAAACCTAACACCTAGTAGGAAGGCCAGGAGCCCCCAGTAGCATCCCAAGCTAAGGTGCCGACAAGAGGGAGGGGTAGGGAGAGACGAGAAAAAGGAGAGAAAAGAAAGGAAGGTGTTCCCAGCTACGACGCATGCGTCCAAGGACACACCAAAGGAAGAGAGGAGAAGGTTCCCAGCTATGACAAAAGCATCCAGGGACACCCAAGGAGAGGAAGGAGAGAGAGAAGGAAAGAAAGAAAGAGAGAGGGAGAGAAAGGGAGAGGAGAGAAAAAAAAGAAAAAGGCAGGTGTTCCCAGCTACGAACAAGCGTCCAGAGACACACCAAAGAAAGAGAGGGGTGATCCTGAGTGTTACATTCAGGAAAACCCCAGGAAGCAAAGAAAGAAAGGGGGAAGGGAAGGGGGAGAAGGGACTAAGCTCGCGACAGGTTCCAATGAACCTTGAACAAACTTCGGTCGCTGCGACCACGTACGGCTTGCCCGAGGGCTGCCACCTCTGACCGCTGCGGTCACCTAAAGGCATGAGCCAGCTTGGAATTCCTAAAATGAGACAACATCATCGTACGTACGGCCTAGGCCACCTACGCTCGCTGCGAGCTGCTCTGTATCCGGGCAGGGGATACGTTGGACATACGCCCGTTCGACGGGTCCACGGGAGGCAAAACACACTTAGGATAGGGTGTACTGAACTGAAAGCGGTGCCACACGCCGGCCTAGGGTTCCATTTCCTAAGGGTACCAGTACGAACCACGGGAACCTGGAGGACTTCAAGAGGAAAGAAGGCCAAAAGCTCAAGGCAAAAACGGACCAACGGGGTGACGGCGTAACGTGCAAGTCTGCGGAACTCACTAGCCCTTTACTAAGGGTAGAAACTAGCTGGGTTCTCGGCTTAGCCCAGTGGCCATGCACGGAAAAACTCAAAGCAGGTACGTGAGAGTGATCAGCTCTCATTTCCCGTACAATCAGGTAGCTTCGTTGGACATGGTCCCTGATTGTACGCCATGTCCCCCTGCTGCACAAGGAAAACAACTGTGAAGCAAAAACAATCCGAAAGGATCCCTATGATTCCAAGGGTTACACACACACAGATAGTCGTTATTCCGGCGCGTGTGATTAAGAGTCATGACTGTTGCGTTCAGCGGGACGGCTTGCTTGTTTGGTTGAATTTGCACTCTGCGGTGGGGTACCCTATGGCAAAGTACAAGTTGATCAGGTGGTCAGCCGCGGCGGCAGCTGGGGTGGAGGGGAAGGTGTGCATGTGGATGGTGTGGATACGGGAAGCGAGGCCCGAAAGGGCCAGGCGTGCAGGTCTGCCGCGCGAGCGGCAAATTACGGACCAGATCCTGAGTAGGTACCTAAAAAGCCTTAGAGCAGAAAGAAAGACAGAAAGAGCCAAACGAAAGGGCAAGAGAGAAAGATAGGTGTAGCGAAAAAAGTGGCTACTTAGCACTTGACTACTTAGCCCTTGACTACAAAACTCAGGGGCAGGGAAACGAGCCTAAAGAACCACCTAACAAGCCTGAAAGAACGCCTAGAAAACGAAGAAAGCGCAAGAGAGAAAGGGGGGGAGAGGAAGGGGGTGTATGTCCGTGTGTGTGTGTGTGTACATGTGTATGTTTACCGTAAGCCCGGCGGCGTAGAGTCCGTAGCTCGGCAGCTTTGCGATCAGAAGATTCATGGGTGAGACAAAAGCGAGCCAGTAACCTAAAAGCCTTAGAGCAGAAAGAAAGACAGAAAGAGCAAAACGAAAAGGGCAAGAGAGAAAGATAGGTGTAGCGAGAGAAAAGTGACTACTTAGCGCTTGACTACTTAGCCCTTGACTAAAAAACCGAAGGGCAGGGAAACGAGCCTCAAGAACTACCTAATGAGCCTGAAAGAAAACCTAAAAAAACGAAGAAAGCGCAAGAGAGAAAGCGGGGGGTGAAGCGGAGGGGGGTGTCCATGTGTGTGTGTGTGTGTGTGTTCACGTGTATGTTAAGCGTAGGCTCGGCAGCGATCTGTTGATTCATGTGTGAGACAACAAGCCCGTAACCTGATCCACGAAAGCAAGTCAGCTGAATCGAGATGTGATGCACGATGGTTTCAGCGCCTCTTTTGCGAGAGGACCACGCTGTGTACCCAGTGGGAGGACACAGCGATACACACTTAGTCACAGGGTTTGCAGTTATCATAATACACAGTGAAATGAATGACGGAAACGCAAGGTGAAGCGGCCAGCGCAACTGAATTGTTTAACAAGTTGTTCACGTGTCTGCAGAACACGGCGGTGACGAGCTGTAAGCGCGGCAAGAAAGTGGGTTTTGGGGGAAGTCTCATGACGAACCACCATGGAAACAAAAAGTGGGAAAGTGGAGTCACAGCGTGTGCAAAAGTTCCGTCAGCGCAGGGACGCCAGGATGGCCAATTGGTATCCCGTGTTCAGACTAGCTTCGTTGGGCGTAGTCATCTGAACACGCTACGCCCCCTGCTCTATTATAGAACAAGCTCCTAGAGACGGAGGGTGACACAGACACACACACACACACACACGTGAGAGCATACACAGGGACCCGCTTATGAGGACACAGGATGCATATGAACAGACATAGGAGATCAGCGATCACACGGTGTGAGGTCGAGGTTAGAGGTCCACCAAATCTAATTACTGCGCTTGCCATGAAATCTGCGCGCCGAGGTCCATCAGGTCCATCATCACGTGCTGCACTTGCAACGAACTGTGCACTTCAATGCCCACACAGTGCTGCAACTGCCAGACACTTTGGAACCTGCTCCCAAATGCAGCTGCCATAGAAACATCCAAAGTCAAACTAGTAGTTTCTTGCTCTTAATAGTAATGCCAGGAACTACTAGCAGCGCCCTTGCTCCTAGTAGCGATGCCCTTTGCTACTAGCGCATCTGATCTGACGTCTACGAAACTGACTTCGACGCCTATGGACTGCGGGGCGAAGCCTCCGATATTTGAAGCAGGATTCGGTACACCACTCGTCGTCTACTCGTGCCACCAACATCTGTATGTTGGAGGTGTGGTCACTGAGTAGGCCAGCAATGGCGTGAGGGAGCGAGGGGGGAAGGGAGGGAGAGGGTGGGAGGGAGGGAGTGACTGGCTGACTGGCTGACTGAGTTGGTTGTTGAGGTGCTAACATTGAACGGATGTGTGACGGGAGGTGATTGGATGGATCGGTGGGTGAGCCAAGATGTAACTAGGTGGTGAGTGGGTGTGGTGCATGAGGTCATCAGTAGGATTATATATATATATAAGCATGGTAGCCACAGTGGCTTTGAAGACGTGGAGCTCTCACACTGACGCTCCTGTGTATATTTATATATATATATATACATATGGTATCTCTTCACTTAAATTAAATTACACTTTCCTTAACCACCGTGGGATCTGGTGATTTACGAGGCCAAACCAACATGGAAACCTGCAAGGAGCCTATTACCGGGGACACCGCGTAAGTTGGTTTGAACCACAAGGTCCTCAAAAGACACTAACGTGGAAACATTTTGGTCAGGGGGGGGGGTCATGAACCTGTATTTCTCTAGGAAAACCTAAGGTAGCTGGAAGAATTGGTCAACGCACTGGTTTCTAGGTTAGCGTCTTCAAGCTACTTTCAATAAAAAATGCTCATCCTGAGAGTTGCCAGGTTAGCGCAACCTGAGGCAACTTGAGTAATTGGTCATTTCACTGGTTTCTAGGTTAGCGTGTTGAAGCTGTGGTTCTTT